GTTCCTTCCCACTGTATCCTACGCGAATGACTTATCGCGTAATGAATCACTATCAGTTTAGCCAACCAGATGATCATCGATGGATTACCAAGCATAGATCGCGCGCGCTTCTTTTTCCCTCTCTGCGGTAATCCCGCATCGCTCGATGCGACATTGCGACGACGCCCACGTTGCCGACGATTGACTTCTGAAACTGTCACAGCTCACCGAGCTTACCGTGATGTGTGCGGGTACCTTCGATTTTATCATCTCTCCCCTCTTGACTCTGCGATCTATAATAAGACAAGGGCGCACATTGTGCGTGTAATACCGCAGACTATGTAATTGTCGTTCATTAAGGGATTAATTGAATATTCGGAGAGTAGAGCGAGTACATACAACGCACACATACATGTATCTACACGTGTCGTAATCAAGGTAAGCACCTTTTGTGAGAAATGGAGGCGGGCACGCAATTACCAGTGAAGAGTCGCTAATTAATGAATTAATTAACTGCCGGTGTGTCTAGTGACCTAAATATATCTTGGAGACTCTTCATATATACAGGCGAGTCTATTTTCAGTCGCCAATTTATTGATTCATTATACTAAAGGTGCCGGAGTTATTTAGCTCTCATTCACTTTTCTAAATTTGACAATCGAGATTTGACGAGATTTATTTTTCATTTGTTTATACTTAAATTATTTTTCATTGTTAAATGACGATATTTGACAACAACTTCGATTTTCACATTATTATTTAATATTAAAAGGCGTACAATTTGGGGATTCGATTAAATTAATTACACATCGTTGCATCTTGTTTCATAATGTGTGTTGCGTTGCGACAGCGAGCGCCAAATGCTCTTTGTATTATAGATGATTGTAGACACGGAGGCTGCACCTTTCATTACGCCCGACAATTGCTCGAGTTCAATAATGGCGATATTAATGCGGGAACACAGCGTCGTCGATCGTAAATTAGATATTCGCATTGACGTCGACGAACATTCATTGTCGATCCATATTACCGGCTTTGACACGAGACTTTTAATAGTGGCAGAATTTAATAACGCGAATTTCTTCTCTTTTTCTCTCTATAAAATTTTATATTCCTGTCACGGGGAGAATGCCCATAAAATGGAAAAGCTGTACAACGTCGTAACGTGAAAATGAGTTGAAAATCAGTTATCTTAATATTATTATTGTAACGCGCACACAACGGTTGAGCTTTACTCTAATATCGTTACCTATTTATATTACAAATTTATTGCAATAAATACAAATGATAGCTGTATACTTAAGTGCTGCATAGATTATTATGATCAAATTACGTAGCACGCTTTTATTTTGCATTGCGCTCGTCGCAGGAAATTCATAATAACTGAACAATTGTGAGAGATTCCGATAATTGATTCGGCCTCGCTTTAAACGACGCGACTTTACGTAACGACGTGTTCGCCGTTTCATTCAATTATACAATATCTAGTTCAGCGTTTAGTGAAAAACATTTTTGCTGGCTGTAACGAATGGGCCGCTGCCACTTGTTACCCGAAAGAGACGCGTAGTTACTCAGCCCGTGAGCCGCAACATTCCCTGGGAACGTTGCCTGCGAACAATCGTATATTTACGTACGTATACGTACGTACGTACGTGAGTTTAATTATTCGCAGTTGACAGGTACGTACGACGTGCCCCTACGCGATTGTCTCGAGAGCCAATTTGTGAGGCTCGGGAATGAGCGTGGTTGGTCCCGCTGTCACAATTAAAGTCGTAAAATCGCGGACTAATAGCCTTGTTACGTTAATTCAGTGTAATGTCGCACGGGGTAACGATAAACGTGTACGGTATATATAGGAATGCAAGAACGTTCGCGTGGAGCGAGAGGGGACTGGCATAAATTTAATTTAACGACCTCGAGGTCAGCGCGTTGCGTCGCGTCGCGAGAGGAATAGGGGGGCCCTGCGTGTGGAATTGATTGGGGCCCCGAGATCCGGAGTTGGCGGACGTGTGGTGGCACCCGATGATTTACCTCTCTTGAAATAAGACTCGCGAAGATCGTCGTGTATTCGCGATCGGAGAGAACGGTATATGTGAGAGTTCTACGAGGCTTTATGTACTCGAGCATTGTGGTGGTTACGAGGATATATATCGATTTACGATGTTAGAGCAGAAATATCACGCACGAATTGTGTTCCTCTGGCTCGTTTTACGCAGCGTTCGTAATTAACGTGCGTTATTTACGAACATCTTAGTATTGGTAAATAAGGAGATTTAAATATTTATGCCCCCCTTCTCGAATAGATTGCACACAACAGGTTTATTACGTCTGTAACTAGTTTCTCTGTTTCATTACCATTAAATTTTATCGGAGACGTTCTTATAATTAGAATCATTGCTATATATGTGAAAAATAAGGATATATTACTGTATTTTATAAATAATAACTCGTACTTAATTTTCTGCGTGTCAGCCACGTGAAAAAAATTTTATCACAGACATATCTGTTTCTGGACATTTCAAAGAGTTTGCGATATTAATTTCATTTTCTCCCGATGTAATAATACGTCCGATTATATGCGCGGTATAGTAACCTATTATATAAAATAATTTTATGTAAAACCGGTAGAACACTGCGTGTACTAGCTGGCTCGTTTGGCGTAGTAATTACAGCCAGCGCGCAGCGCGGTTTATTTTCCCTTTCGAGATCGTCTAATCAAGAGAGAGAAAGAAAGAGATAGACTCTCTGCAGGCTACACGTTCATCCGGGCACAAGGGAACGGGTAAAAGCTATCGTATTAAAGTCGTTGCTGTCGCAGTACGGTGTCTCATTTTGCGTCCGAGAAAAAGGATTAAATCACGGTTTCCGCCGCCGCCGCGCCGGTCGCCGCTCGTGATTACCTCTCGCGTGCAACGGGCGGCATGTGACGGGAAATAATGGAACGTGGAAAGCGGCGGCGGTGCGTGTATGCACTCTCTTCGGTGACGAGGATTATTTAGGTAGTGATGCAAACACCTTGCGTACATGCCTCGTCGCACTTTGCACGTGATACATATGCCTGCAGCGGTTTCATTTTGCAAAGAATGCGGATGACTTTCGAACGGAAAGGAAACTGTTTTTCAACATATCGCGTATATACGTTTGCGGTGTCTCGGTAATTTTTATTCGATCATTTTTTGTAGATATTTTATATATTTATGATCCACATAATTTTCTTCCCAAAAGATTTATCCTTTCTAGTGAATGTCACAATTATTGCTGTTTCTTCTAAAAGTAGAAATTCATAAAAAAATGTCTCATCGATTGAGTCATAAATTATAATTCCTCCCCTTAGCCTCCGTGTATGTGTTTGTCGCGACGGTGCAATTTTTTTTATCTGCAATATTTGCAAGATGGGTCGTGTCACGACACAAACTTTTCCGTTTCTCTCCTTGCGGTATTGCGAGTGGGCGTGATTAGCTGGTAAAGTGATCATCTCTGATGAGCGTCTCGCCAGAAGGAGAATGATAATAGGTCAGTCGCAGAAAACACGTTCTGATTAAGTTAACCGTCGGTGTGCGTACGTCATTACATCGGCGCGACAACTCGTTGGATTCTCGATGATACAAGGCCGACCGTCGCGAGTGCTGTAATCTCGTCGCCGTATTCGGGTCGTTCTTAATTAACCTGCCACGTATCCTTTCATGCGACGAATTCTCGTGCGTCTCCTTTCCACAAGGCTCAGTGATTCGTGTCTGTCACACTCGCGTATCCTCGCATATTATTAAGTCTCTATCGTGAAATATGTATTTAGCTACTCGGGTCTTTTAATTTTTTATTTTTTAAATTCAATTTAATTTATGTTTAATCTTTAATTTGAAAATAACGATGTAAACGCCACACGATGATGCTCTTCTTCCCGCGTTGTCATCTCCCACGGAGAAAATTTCATGTTAAGTTTTAATACAATTTTAAATTACATTTTACTATGTCTTGTATTTTTAGATGGACCCTCACAACAATATTCCGCGCGACATAACTTTTACTATGGTAATTTTTATCACATAAATAAAGTATTTTTTATTAATTCCAGTGCTTAAGCCATGGAAAGAGTTAATTTTTACTATGAAAAGGAGTAAAAATTACTTTATATTATTGTTAAAAAAATGGTTATAGCATTAAACTTACAATTACACGATGATCCGCAGCTTCTACCATATTATAGTAATTTTAAATATAAAATTTTCTCCGTGTATTAGCTACGATTGCCACGATTGTGATCGATGATAGTTGCGACGATTGTCGGAAAAACTCCATGACAATTAACATTTCGCGCGGCGCGCGTTTTACGAATATTTCTTGTATATCAAGCGGTATGATCTTATTTACGACACGCTGGTAATGGCATCGTGTTTGCGGTCGTAAATTGCTGCGGAACGTCTCCCGAGCTGACAAGTAACACACGGAGCCCGTGCTCAGCCATTACGGGCATCGGCCCGAAGGCCTTCCTACAACTCGAACGCGTTTTAACTTGGTTCATAGCGTCGCGCATCGATCATGAGATTCATGAGCGTCGTCAATCTGAGGCCATCGACTCCTTAAGTCTTCCCTTCTTTCTCTCGCCTCTCCTCTTTTCTCCTCGTACGGTTCCTTCACGCTTACTGGCTTTACGTATCGGTATTCGCCAATTATAGTGATCCGCTCGATGAAATCAGACAGAGGCAAAGGAAATCATCTTTATTTTATTCAGGGTACGCTGCGTATTAGTATACTAACTGCGAATAATAAATGCCACATTCCATACACCGGTTAGTCAGATTTAGCCGACGAAAGATTCGTAGCGAAGTCCTTGATAATTTCGACGATCCGCCTCCAATATCCTAAATTGATGCTCCTAAGTTTCGAGAGAATATCAAAACTTTGGGAGACATTCGACTTTTTTCGTGTGTTTGAAATGTGATTCAAAGTTAGCTCGTTAGCTCATCACACCGGCTGTGATACGATCAGACGAATAACGAGTGGTATGCACATTCTTGTTTCAGGTTGCGACGCGACCTTGGAGCCCGGATCAGGGCAAGACGCGGGAGATGACCAAGCTCTGTAACCATAAGAGGAAACTTCTGCTGCCGGCTGCAGCCGCCAGTCCTGTTGCGTCCTGTACGCCGGCGGTCTCGTCGTCGACTTTATCTTCTGGCCCGACAACGGCCTCGATTCACGCGAACGCCGACTCGCCCACGTCGCCGGATAAAGCCAGAAAAGGTAAGAACACGAATGTTACCAGAATGATCGGATTATATTCCGGCTCCAACGAAAGAAATCGCTACCAGCAGGCAAAAAGCAATAATGAACAAGTATTTTATCTACATACATATATATGTAGTACATAAGAAATATATATTAGAAGCGCAAGACGAAAGCTGCTGTTTTGTAACGTTTAATGAGTTGAAATTGTTAGTTTGTAAAAACAGAAACATAATGAAAGCCAAATATGAATGGATAATGTAATATTTATGTCTTGATAAATGCATCATTTTTTATTTACAATGATTATATCATTCTGTAGAATAAGTTTGCGTCAAACTTTTGGATTTTCTTTCGAGTTTTCTTTAGGCACTCGAATGATCCTATGATCGATCAAAATCAAGATTCTTTCATCCTCAATATTCGTTTTCATAATCCCCCGACGATTTCGACAGGTCAAATTTTATGACAAACTTTCTCTCATATCCACACATACATACACATGTCGTGGAACTTTCTCTATCGATCTGGCGTATTAACAAAGTTTTCTGTCAAGTCGGACGTTGAACCGGCGCCATAATCGCCGAGACGTTTATTCACCGTCGCGCGGAAACACGTGCCAACTTTTATTGGAGGAAGACCAAAAGTTTTTCCACCCCGTCAAGTGAGCCGTGATCATTAAGGAAAAAAGTCGACGGTAGAAGAAGGACGACGAAATTGCGGCATTAGCGAAGTCGGTTCACTCACTCTTCCTTCTACTCCTTCTTCGCTTCTCTCCCCCACTTCAGAATCGTCTTTTCTTCACCCGCTACGTTAGCATTAAAGCTCAAGAGAAGTGCGACGGAGGACGAAAACGAGGCGCAGGGCAGGGCGGAATGATGTATCACCGTAGCCGCCAAACTCTCCACCGAATTTCATTACCAAATCCCATAACCGACGTATCCCATCCCACAGCGCCGTCACTTCTTTTCCCACCCCACTTCTCATCCCACAACCCACTACCTTCCTTTTTCCCTTACTTTCCGCGCCGTTAATTAAGCGGCTGTTGCAGGACGCGATAGACGCGTTCCCGGCGTATCTCTACTTCTACCTGTACTCCAAATTGCGTCGGCTAGAAATTATAATCCGCTTGTAGATTGAAAGCCGAGCGCGGCCGTGTCGGCGACCAACGGTTATTAAACTTTCACCCTACGCGCGTCGTAACTGTACGTTTTAATATTATTCACAGCGGGGCTGGAAACACGCTTCGATGTCGAATTATTCGAATACATTTCAACCATAAATGTGTTAGAAAAAAATTAATTTGTATATTATCAAAGCTCTCTGATATTATACACTTTTATTTATAGTTCCGATTAGAATAGCGTTTATGTAATATTGCATTATTTTTTCTATGATTTTTAAAGAGCTTATAGTCTATGATAATAAATATTTCCAGTAACAAAAAAGAAAAAAGAAACCGATTCGCTACATCCGCTCGCAAATAGATGCATTTGGATGTACTCGTCTGCAGCGTCGTAAGGGGGCTAGTAGTTTCGCGCTTGCATCTGCAAATCTGGGGTTGAAGTTTAACTCAAGTTTACGGTCGCGGTGTGCGAGGTAGGATAATACATATATGCGTCGGTCGTGGTGTTTTTATGGGACTTTATAGGGTTGTTTTAACATCGATGCGCGCGCTCGCGCCGCTTCGATTCCAATTCTCCGGTGATATAAAACGACACGCTCTGGATGGCAGGGTTGGCTTTTTTCCCGACTTTCTCTCCGGCTGTCGGGGGTTGCTCGTGTATTCGGACTCGCGCTCTTCGCAAACACACACACACACACACATACATTCTACAACAGGGGAGAAGGACGGTAAAGGGAATAAGTGGAGAGGCTCGAATGAATCTTTATCGTCGAATGTCGAGCTCCAAGTTTTCATAACGCGCTCACTCCCTGCTGGGAACCGATTTAATTCCCCCTTTTTCTGATTTTCAGTTTGACTTGCCGGCTTAAGAGGGAGGGGTCTTCGTTTATGTACGATGGATTATATATCGCATTGGGAATAAGAATGATTGAAAGTCTGTTTCAGTTTTATCGGTCACGAGAGCGAAGCAGAAATTGCAATTATTCCAAGTAATTCACCAAAAGTAAAAGTTTTGCAATACGTTGATTGCGTTATTAACTTCTTTCGCACAATACGAAAAATACTCAAATTATAATTATTTACACACTATGTATTAAAATTTTTGATAGAATTGTTTAGGGAATTGTTTGCGGTGTGATTTAAAAAATATACTTTTAACCATTTTAAAAGTTGTCTATATATTTAAATAAAAGTAAGTAAAATATTAAACGGAATAACGTTTCTCACTATTGGGTAATATGTAGTTCAGTCGTTCAAGGCTTAATTAACATAATTAAATCCAACCTCATTACCCGATTGGAAATGTCAATAGACATGTTTAACGAGAATCATCACGCGTCATGTAATTGTTAAATCGGTCGTAACACACCAGTCTGTTCAAATCTAGGGCGCGGTTTACGCGATCTTTTGTCGCCCTAAACAATTTCCTCCGTAAATAGTTTCCCCCGGAGCTCAATCGATCACTTTTGTCCTCGGCGTCGACGTAGTACGCGGCAGTTACAGTAACATCCCGAAGAGCACCGAGAAGCGATTTTACGGGCGACGAACTCCAATTCACCGCCCTATATGCGACAGCCACCCTCTACCGAGTTTTCGTTACAGGTGGTAAACTCTTAAAAATTTTTTCCATGTGGATTTCGCTGCACGCGAGTGTGTTAGTTTTTGTTGCCTACTGAAGATATCGTGTCGTGTAAACAGATTAGTACTACCCGTCTGACAGGTTTATTGGATTTGTATTCTTTTCTGAAGACTTGTGTTTACATAGGATGTTTCTGCGAGAAATAATCTTCTGTTAAGGAAGTAAGTATAAGGGTGAAATGAAGTAAACACAATCTATCCCACCCGAAATGAAAAGGTAAATCTCGGTTAATGAGATATCTACAATTTAAGATATTGTATAATATAAATCAAGTGGGAAACTAAAGGGGAGAAAGAGCTTGTATAAATTTTATGTAAAGAATTAATATGAATTAGTCCAATTGCATTAAGAAAGATAATAAATCTTAAGATATTTCTTGTTGGCTATACTCACATCGTATAGCGATTCAACGCGACCATCTCAGATCAATCCGTCGGTCCGTACCTTCTTATCATGGCGACGATCAATAAAGTCTCGGGGAGAGGAAAGAATCCATTCTCCCTTCGCTGGCTGTGACGATGACGACGACGACGATGATGACGGGAACGAGAATGTTACCGCGACCGGGTGTGGTTGATGGTAGAGATGGCGATGGTGATGGATATAAAAAGAAGAAGCGTAAAAGAAGCCAGGCTATAACCCCCCTGGAGGGGTTGCTGAGGGAAAAACGGTGATGGTAGACACCGAGTTGATAAGGGTTAATTTCGTACGAGAAGAGAGCGAGCCACGGTTACGCACAAGTAGGGGAAGAGAAAGGGGGAGAGAGAGAGAGAGGGAGAGCAGAGGTAGTAGCCTTGCGGTCCAACGACTGCTGCGTCCGGTTGTGATTCTTGCGCCTGCCCCGGGAGTGATGTTCGTTGCCTCGGCAGAGGATCCTTATTCTTCTCTCTGTTTTTCCCTCGAGGCCACCCTTGCACCCACTTCCGTCGGTTGGCCGCGCAAGCGCATTTCGATCTCATTCTGCTCAGTCCGCATCAACGCCTTGGCGTAACGTAACGGCGTGATCCCGACGGATTTTTATGCACGCATTGAAAAAAGTCATTTCGCGAGACCGAAGCTAGAACTCGAGAACTCGTAGGCTTACGACGTTCGCCTGTCTTGTTACAGCGCCCGACGATGCCATCAGCGTTTCTTCTTAATGATGCTGCGTCAGTGAGACCAATATGGAGTGGATGTATCTCGCAATCTTACGAACGTCACCTTTACAGGTGCGGTATTCTTTTCCTCGTGCGGTACTAAGTGAGAATCCTGAGATTTAGAATTTTCCTATTATAAGCGTGCATCATACACATGCGTGCAATTCATTCAACCAAGTTTTTAAAATTTATCTACACTTATGTTTACAATCCTTTTGGTGTTACATGATAATAAATTGTATTACGTATAATTAATTTTAGAAATCTAACGTTTCAACAGAGAAATATATTTTTAATTAGAGCAATAAAAAGACAAAGACGGACTCATTATCAGTATAAATTAAGTTTCATAAAATTGGTCGTTTATTATGAGCAAGCTAGCAGCAAATATCTTAACGAATGTGCTTAAGTGAGTAAGGTAGCGTTTGGAAACAGCCGCAAACGACGAACTACATCTTCCAATTACTACGTCGCCCTCTTTCACTAGGGTTTAACGACGAGAACGTTTATTGCTCGAGCCATTGACTGCAGACGTTCCAAGTAGACGGGGAGACTTTACGCGTTCGCGTGAAAACCCCGGAAGCCACAAAATGGATCCAAAGATTTTACGCAAATCTACCGTTCTCCCCTTGAAAATCGGGTTAAACTGCCGTAGTCAGGACGGACAAGTTGCCTTACTACCATCGTAGATTCATTACTATCCTCATCACCCTCCTCTTTTACTTTTGCTTCTCGTCGTTTTCATGTTTCTCCCTTTTCGTCGAGAATTACTCGGTTCCTCTTCCCCGCGTCAATCGGCGCGCATGGAGAATAATTGTTCTCTGTAGGCTTACAGATAAAAGATCCCCTTAGCCTATTGCCCCGCTGAATACCTTATTCTTCCTTCTGCTTTCTAACACGTCTCGTAAATCACGGTAATTCGGAAGTGTCGATGATTCCTGCAGCAATTCTTCGTGAATATGCGAATAATAGCGTTTTAAAAGCATTACAAATGAAGTTTCGTTTTAAAGAAATTTTTCGGAAATTAAAATATTTTTAATTTTTTTTTTATATTTAAATGATTTATATTTTAATGTAATTAAAACAATTATATTTTTAACAATTATATTTATCAGTAATGTTAATATTATATTTTTTTTCTACATATGTACATCAATTTTATTGTTACACAATTTATATTATTCGCCGAATGGGGAGGGGAAGAGTAATATCTCTAGCTTATAAAAGTTTAATATAGTTTCCAGAATTTTTCAAATATAAAAATATATATGATTAAACGCACTTTAAATCTATATTTAAATTATTAATATATTAATATTTTATATTATTACAAATTTTTTTTATTAATTTACTGTACTTTTAAAGTAATTTTAAAGCAATTTTTTAATAATTTTGAAGCCGTGTACGGAAATTAATTGGATCTATAATAAATATGTATTGATTAGGAGGAATCTTAATTAGGGCGATAAATTTATTTATAATTTGAGTTATGAATCCGTTTATCTATACCTGTTGCAGAATAATGGCTTGTTGTAATAATTAATAATTTTTGTTATATGAATTATTTAATACTGATGCTATAATATTACTCTAATTATTTAACAAGTTAATTACATTGGCCGAATTGATGTTTCGTCACGCTTCTTGATCTATTGCCGACCATATTTTCATTTCGCGAAAGATGTTTTCCGGAATGATAATGTCGAGGTAAAGGCCGTTTCAAAAAGGGGAGTTAAAGCACGGAAATGTCAGGCTAAATACGATTTAACCTTGCGGCAGGATTTCAAATGGAACACTTGCTTCATTAAGAAGCTTGGAACATCGTCTGAATAATAAGCGAGAAAGCCGGTGACGCAGGATTAGGGCGAATAAGTCGTATTTTAATTTCTACAGCGCCGAGGACTTATCGTCTTTCACAATTGCGCTCCGAACAGGAAAAGCCTTTGTCGATTCAATTTCAAATAGATGCCGGCGAATCGAAGGTAATTGGATTCCGGTTTATTAAGAGATACTTTATTGGTGTGCGCAGATGGTCTCAGCAAGAAGAAGAAGAGGAAATTAGGAGGCATAGGCGGCATTTATTCCGGCGTCTCGGTTTCGCAACTTCTGGCACAACGGGAGAGAGCTATTGCTGCGGTTGCGGCAACTGGAGTTCAAGGTTCACCGGTGCCTAATGGATCGCAGGTAATTAAGTCATAGTTTTAATTGAATCGCAAATTATCAGTCTCCTTTTTGAGTCAGCAGTTGTACTTTTGCCTGAATGTTTGATGCAATATTGAATAATATAAATATTTTTATTATCCTTATTAATATATAGTACGTAAGCTATATATAATTAACAAAATTTGTATTTTACTTTTTTTTTTTTAATTATTTAAAGAGTTCAATTGTAATACACGTTACTAAACACCTTATCTGATAAATAATACACATTATTATCTTTAATTATTAGCCTTTACTTATTCAAGTATTTAAATACAATTATTTTATTTTTAGGTATGGCCAATCGCGATCCCAAATCTGCAAGTCCAACAAAACGGACAACAAATCTGTCATCAGTCTTTAAGTTCGCCTTCCCAGAATCATGACGTGAGCAGTTGTGCGAGAAATCCTCCGCAGAGGTTAAATCAACATAATATGTCGGGCATGCTGATGAGCAACCCGTTGATTATGAATCAGCAGGGTACAAATTTTAATAATATGACCCAACAGCAGCAGCAGCTTTTACAGCAGCAACATCAACAACTTATACTACAGCAGCAGCAGCAGCAGCAACAGCAGCAGCAGCAGCTTATTCAGCAGCATATATCACAGCAACAGCAACAATCACAGCAGTTGTTACCACATCAGCAGCAGTTACAACACATGCAAATTTTACAACAAGAACAACAACAAAACACTGTAGTAAATCAATTAGCGCAACAGCAGGCTCCTCATTATATCAATCAGTTAAATCAGCAGTCCTTACATGTAATGCAACAACAACAGCAGCATTTAAATCAACAGCAGCAGCAGCAGCAACAACAAATGCATTTGCAGCAAATTCAAAAACACAATATGCAACAGCATTTAGTTCAGGAAGTGGATCAACAACAATCGGCAAATTACAATACTCAACATTCTGTCGATAATTATGCGCATCACATGCAGCAGTCACAAATATCGAATCAAACCGTCCTTCATCCGCAATTACATCAACTTCATCAACATCAAATGCAACCACAACAATCGCAACAGAATCAACATGCTATGCAATCTCAGTCGACGGATCCCTTCCAGATGCAGATTCAACAGCAGCTACAACAACAGCAACAACAACAGCAACAACAGCATCAGCAGCAAATGTCACAAGTGTGCATTCAGCCGCAATATTCAAATCAACAATTGAATCATCACTCCGTAGACATTATGCAACAGCAAACAGGTTCTACCGCCATGAGCAATATCAATACTATCGACCTTCAAAATAGGCATAACCGAACGTCGTCAGTTGATGAAGATCTAAACGCAAAGCAATTACAACAGCAGCAGCAACTTTTATTGCATAATCATTCGATGCAGCGACACCATGTAGTTCAAAATGGCGGTTTGCCCAATAATCCTCATGAGAATGTTCAGCGGATGTACCAGAATCAAGTACAATATCCGGCACGGAATTTTGATTCTTCGAAAGGTACGAATACGGATGCCAAGATGGGACATCAACAACAGTTTCTATCCAATCATACGGGACGAAGCCCAAACGCCAGTCACACTGTTGAGGTGCAGCAATCTGGTATGGGACCAAACGGGCAGTCCGGCAATATGCATTTCAACAATAGAACACCGCCGTGGCAACAAAATCGCACTGCGGTTGCATCCCATCAACCGTCCGTTGTCACGGTTCAAAATGTTACCTGCAATTCGTTTGACCGTGTACCACCGCTTCATCATCACATTCCACAGCCTTCCAATTGGACGGACGAGGCTGCACGGAAAAAGGTGAAGTCAAATAAAATAATAGTGAAGAAACAGCGACAGCATATCGCGGAATTATCGAGAACGAACAACGGATTAGAACATTCGACACCGAGTTCAGTAGATGAATTCAGCGAGAATAATCAATCACAAACTAATGGTCAGATAGGTTCGACATTCAACAGCAGCGGCCCTTCGTTCCTAGAGGATCCCAGTGGGTACCTCGCTCAGCAAACGGCATTGCTAAATAGCACGATATCACGACAGACTGGTGTTAGTAGTTCCCAAGTGGGGATGTTGAACAATAACTCGAAAGCATTGTCTCAGACCAATCATGGTATGCATATGTCTAATACTTATATTCCTCAACCAAAGCCTTCCTGTATCGCCAGTCCCACGAGTACCTCGTCATTCGCTTCCGTAAAAAATCACGCAACCTCACCGGTTGTTGTACACAGCAGTATGACACCGACATCAAGTAGTGGCACGGATTCTGAAAACAGTCCATGTCAAGGCTGTGTCACTAGTGCCGATACACAGTCCTACATTCAAGATCAATATAAGCAGCAAATGCAGCGACAGTACCTGATGCATACGGATCAGCGCGAAGATCCTGTTACTTCGTCGACGTTCGGCGAGCGATATCAAACAAACAATCAATCACAAGCTGATTCTAGACCGATACAAGGTGGTACTGTGAGCACCAGTCATGGATCTCCTATCGGCACAAATAGTCCGGCTAATTCGGATACACCAGCAGCCTCGACACCTGGAATTTCGCAACCAGCAACCCCGCAGAGTCTTATCTCATCACAACCAGCGACACCACATAGTTATTCGCAACCACCGACACCTCATTCCCATGTCTCGGGCCAAATGCCATCGCAGATACTAACTCCACAAGCGCAACAACAGTTGTCGCAATCTTTAATCGGCAGCATTCAAGAACAAAGATCAGAAACTCCAAGTTCTGGTACAATGAGTTCCAGTGGCATTCCACCTAGTACGTCGCCATCACAGATGTCCTCTTCTACATCAGATAATTTAACATCACAAATGAAACGACAAATAACCAGGCAAAATTCTCTGGATGGCTATCAACCTCACCCACATACTGTTAATACAGTCTCCAGGATACCCATAAATACTTTTAGCGGAACATCATCCGTGATAACAACTATGGCAAGCGGTCATACAGTTAGCAGTAATACGATTACATCTGTGTTAGCTGGAAGAGCAAACACGGCCACTGTTTCCATAAATACACCATCTGCGATACCAAATCCTGCTATACCCAGTCTTCTACCGAATAAGGTACAGCATCAGGTACAATCTACTGTGTTGCCAAATATGCCGGGTACTCCAGTTACGACACATTCCTCTATTTCACTTAGTCAATCTTCGACGATGAGCGTGTCTAAATCACCGCTTGAAATGGTTCAGAGTGTTGTTAGTAGTATACAAGTACCTCAGACGAGCACGAACTCGTCATTGCAGCCGCAAACGCAGCAGCAGCAGCATCAGCAACAACAGCAGCAGCAGCAACAACAGCAGCAGCAGCAGCAGCATCAACCACAACAGCAACATCCTCAACCTAACGTTCAAGTTCATAATGTCCTCACCTCAGGTGGTATATTGAAACATCCTGCTGGATCGACATTACCACCTGGTCATATATTGGTATCCAGCGGTGGTCAACTTATAATGGCGAGTACTGGATCGGCTATCAATGGCGTGATGGCGCCTCCTCCACCGAAAATCATTTCGAATGCTAATTCTATGCCACCATTGTCAGTGTCGCCTATGGTTACCAGCGTGACCGGAGCTGTCAGTCAAGTAATCCCTGCGGTGGGTGTAGCTCAGCAAGTGATAGGACAACCCACAGTGCTCGTGAATACTATTCAGACTCCAGTATTGATTCAACCTGGCGTAATGACGATGGATAGCATAGGCCAAAACGTGCAGATACCACATTTGACGGTTGCTACCGGTAACGTCATACAAAACACACAGTCAATTATTGACGCTAATCAAGATGTATCCAGGACGGTCGGTACCAATCAAGGCATGACAGTAAATCGACAACCAGCGCTATTATCGCCGGAATCAACGATGACTAAGAAAAAGGCGTATAAGAAACGGAAAGCGAATCCACAAACCGTGGCGTCAATGCTACACATCGCCTCGTCCCAGCAGAATACTGGTATGTTGATGCAGTCGCAATCAAATTTCGCTCAGCAAAACTTTCAGACTCAGAGCATAGGCGGACCCATGCTTCAGGCGCTAACTATTGTACCCGGTAAAGGTGGGGCACCGGCGCAGCTTGTGATGAACGGTCAGACCGGCGCAGCATCCGCGCAATTTAACACTCAACAAATAATTACAAATCCTCAACCAACTCAGCAGATAAATCTTCTTCAACCGGTGAACTTATTAAATGGCGCAGCCGGGATGGTTCAGAATTTTCCCACTATTCAACAGTTTATTGTGCCTGGTTTGGGTAGCATGGTAATGTCTGCGGACGGAACGGCCACATTATTGCAAGATACGGGTAATATTGGAATGCAGTTTCAAATACAGAACGTCAATGGTCAGAACGTATTGACGCCGATACAAAGCCATAGTGGTATATTTAATCCAAGTCAAAGCATATTGGCCGCTGGTCCAGCCGGTATGGTTATAAGAGCGCCGCAAGCGACTGGTGGGAAGATAATACAACAGCATAGTCCAGGAGCGCAGTTTCTTTCGCCGAATAGCGGCCAATTCCTAGTAAATGGTACAACCTCTTTTGGGAATCAACTGAGTCCGATAGTAGCTAATGTCAGTCCGAACCAGCAAGTGACATTTAACGCCTCGCAAGTAAGACCGTCAAACATGCAAGGTCAGCAGGAATTCATACAGATGAATGGACAAACGTTAATGGTACCTTGTGCGACCGCACAAAACATTGCTGTCTCATCAGCGTCGAATCAACAAAATACAACCTTTGTTCAACAGAACACAACAATTGTACAGCAGCAGACGACCATGGTCTCGAACAATCAGATACCAAATTTTCAAAGTGCAGCTTCTAATGGCGGACAAACTGTCGATCCTTCTTTAAATCTCGATAACCAGTCATATATTCTAAGTTCCGGTATGATTCAGGGTAAAGCGGCGTCATCTTCTCCGAAGAGCGGCGTAAATTCGCCGTTATCTGATCAAAATGTCGAACAACAGCAATATGTACTTGCTAGTAGTAGCACGACAGTCGTGGAAAAAACGGCTCAACAAAACGAACAGCACAGCCCATTGATGGCAAGGCATTCTGTATCGACGCAAACCGCAGGGAACCAAACGAATGTGGCGCAATCGACTATGATGCGGCAAGGATCTCCACCCGACACAACCACTCATAGTCCAGGAAACAGTCAGAGATCCAATAGTCCGGCTGTAGACACTACTACACATGGTGCAGCATCGCCAGCGCCTCCAATTACTGCTAGACATCATTCATCGTCCACGGTAAAAAATAATTTAAAACAAAAGTAATTTATTCAATTATATCTAAAACAGACATTTCATTTCTTATTGAGAAAAAGGATAAACTTTTTTCATTTTATATTTTATCTTTTTTCTCGTTTTAGCTAAAAACAAGATTTTTCTCTTCTGATAAAAAATAATCATGTTCATTAATTTCCACATCATGCACAATTTATTTTCAGCCCATGGTTCATTGCGTATCGAGCAGCGAACCGGACTCAGGCGACACACAGGTGGCGTCGGAGGATTGGAGAATGCAGGGTATCGCCACCAAGGAAATTACGTTAAATCAACCGAGTTTGCACGGAAAGACCTACGTAGAGTCGACGGTGACAACTGGGATCCAGGTTGGTACCCACGTAGAGCAGGTCAACCGTCATCTAACTGTAATAGACATGCACCAGCCGGCTGATACGACACACCCAGAAAACACATACGCTGACTCACAGGAGCATATGGACACATCATCACCAAATCATTCCATTAATTCAGACACAATGGACCACTCTACCGTGGAAGATCAACTAAACGTCAGTAAAGAAATGACGGACGTTTCCTATTCGGAGATCGAGGTCAATCCGTTACCAATCATAGGTCACGGTCATTACCAGCCAATCCTTTATCACGGCCAGCATTATGTCCCTAATGCGAATGTTTATCGACAGCAAGCCTTAGTGCCAGATCATGCTCATTACACCATGTTACCGCAAATTAATGGCAAGTTTGACAACAAATCGTGCATCGATAGCAGTCGTGTTGATACTCAAATCATGCAACATGTCATGGAGCAAGACGAGATCGAGCAAAATTCCGAAGAGAAATTATTAGAACGATCAAATACCGACGTTCCTTATTGTCCGCAGAATGTTGGCTATTCGCAAAAATTCGTTGGCATCGAGTCATCCGGCTTATATCCACATTTGTATAATTATAGGTCTGACCCTAATGGTATTGCTGTTGTTAATTACACACCTAATAAGCAAGCCTACATTAATCCATATGTTTATAATCAATTCATATATGCGCAAGAAGGCGATGATGCTGAGGAGAGTGACTCGTCATCGGATGAATAGTACCTTTCTTTTCACGCGGGTTATAAAATTCATATTAATTTTGTAAATTGAATTTAAACGATACCAGTGGCATTATTAAGTTGCGATTGGCTTATATTCGGTAATATTAAGTTTGTAATTAGTTTGTATTTAATAATTTTTACATCCGCGCTGTGGCGTGAGAGCGCATACGCTGGTTTATTCGTAGCGTTATTATTTAAATCGTACATTATCGCAATAATGTAATTGTATTATTAATCGTGTGTTGATCGGATTAATATCAGGAAATTATTCCTTTTTATATAACAACGAAAAAAATAAATTTTTGCTGAACAGTATTTTTTGATAAAAGTTATATGATTTTGAACATATACCTGATGAAAAATTACCTTGCAACATAAGCATGCGTAAAGAGAGTTTGAGTTTGTCTCTTTTGGTATCATTATCATTTGCATGTATCGAGAAATTAAATTTGTCGTGATTTCTGCATTAAAAGTATTGGCGACAAAGATCAAAATACTATAACTTTCAAATCTTCCGAGTAAATCTCTCTTCTTTTAATTTTGTCTTTTTCGTTATTTTTTTTTTACTTTCTTATGTCTAGATTAGAATTTTGCAAAATGCTCTTGTCTTCTGTGCTTGACCGAGAGAAATTATAAAATTCTGTGAATTATGATACGGAATTTTTGAAAAAAGAAAAGCAATAATAAGACAGCATTGAATGATACATTGAAATGATATAAGCATGCGATTGGTAGGTTTGTGCCTGAGTTGATCGAGTTGTATTTGACAGATCTATACGTCAGAGACATTGAAGCAAGCCGAAGGTGTGGTGAGCACGGTGAGGTGCGAGGGCAGGGAACATGCCCTCGGCCGCGGAATCAAGCGAAAGCTGGACTCCATCCATTCCATGCATTCTACTCTGCATGAAGACCAAGATGGTCAGTATTGTATGGTACTCTTAGACATTAATCGTATACGAGTAGTCTCGCTTAGTAGCAAAAATGTTCGATAAAGAAACTGATAATGATTCGCAACAAAACGAGCAACATAGATTTATAATAGTACAAGCTTTTAAAAGTTAATAGACTAATATATCACGATTAATATGAAATATTTTCATATATTTTTAAAAGGTGTTATTCATTTTCTTTTAACTTTATTTCGTAATGTAATAGCAAATATTAGACTATTAAACAAGTTATTTATTTAACTATTTTATTCAATTATATTATTTTACTAGACACGTTTCGTAAGGGTTTCTTTGAAAGAATATTTTTTATTAGGTGCTATTTCTGTGACAGAGTGAGAAACGTGAAGCATCGATCATTGTTTTGCTCATTCAGTATTGATTTTTTATTTCGATCATCAGAAAAAGATGATTTCCGTTGCTCTTTGTCATTAAATAATTATCATACAAATATTATTATTAAGAGTGCTTTAATTGTACAACTTTGCCCCATCAGTAGAATTTAGAAACACGTACTGTAAATTATCAAATCATTTATATTATTCAACTTGGCTTGCCGCTTTCATCGAAAATCATGTATGCCATCATTTTTTTGCATGCTATAGTAGTAGCTTATTTATTAATATATTATCTCGCTTATGCACATGCTTAGTGATATCATTGCATGGTGAAGTACAAGCTTGCTGCATTGTAATTGCTTTGGTAATAGCTTTTTTTCACAATATATTTGGAATCTTGCGCATTGAATGCAAGAGTGAGCTAAGAGGAATCGCTTCCCTTTTCATATCGAGATTTTAAGCCGGAAAAATGCACCATTTTGTGTGAATTGATCGGAGTTGAATTCTCCGAGTTTATATCAACTCATTCATTATAACATCGCATTATTAATTAACCACGTTAACGACAAGTCGAGCGGAGCAGGTAAGTGGTGTCAATACTAAAAGGAACAGAGAGACTTTTCGTTCATTACGTACAAGTCTCCAACGAATCGCTTGCGGAAATGAAGAAATAACTATTCTGACATTTGTAAATAATGTTTTCGATGGTTTCTTTTTTTTGCGTTTACTAATTGGTTGTCAGGTTTGTTAATATCATTATCCTCGCAATTACATTCTCATCCGAGTGGCCAAGGGGCTTCATCATACGTTCATTTCGGAAGGGGTGTGGCTCACTACCGTGTGTTATTTCGACGTACCTTGTACATATACACCCTCATGTTTTACGTACAGCATGTGCATATTCCCGAGGATGGAAATGTTTTCCAAATTGTTCCAATGTGATTGCGAAGCATTTACTTTTAAAATAATGAAATAATATGAGAGATAAGTCAGGTATTAATACTGAAATGCAGTCGGTTTACTATCTATAACAGCGTAGAAAATCCAATTGTTCCACTGTTTAAACAGGATCATATTTAAAATTGAATAAATTACCATCAAATTAAAATTTTTTATTTCCTAACGGATTTAAGATAAATGTTGATAGTGTTTATAATCCGTTATAAATTGAAAATCTATTTTGACAATATTATTATATTATTATCATTCGAATAATGTGTACAAATAAAGAGATATCTTGCGAACAAATAATGGAGAAGGGAATTATAGAATGAACAACATTCATTCGACAAAATCATTGCATGTGCTCGAACCATCTGATATTTCATTCTACCTTTGATCTCGCCTACCATTGAATGAAGCTACTAATCATTTTTAACGAGCACACACATGCGAGCAAGAAGCACATTATTACTACTGGCCAAGTAGTTGAACCATCAGTTTCGAACATTCCTCTGCGATTCGCACCACAAGCATACCGGAATATTTTGCTGTTATGCGTTGCACATTTTAATCAAAATCAACAGATGTATGAGATGGAAATTACGCGATATTGTGTACATTTACATTTATGTTTTGTGCGGTAAAGTTGAGTCATTTTTAAGCGACGATTTCATTTTTAAGCAAAAATTTCATCAATCATTTCGAATATAGCAAATATGTAAATAATCATGCCAAATGCATTTATAATCGATAAATGTAAGTTCAACATCTTAAAACATTAGATTATTTTTATATGTCAGAAAATAGTCATATAAAATTAAAAAATGTGTTTTGTGTGCAATAATGCATATCAGATTCATCAAAATAGATTTTTTTAAAATATTTTAAGCTAAAAATAGTAAAAGAGAAAACATAGCTTGTTTTAATAAAAGAGAAAGATAGTGATATGTTAAATTATATTATTATATATTAGATTTCGTTATTAATTAATCGATAATTTAATATTAATTATATTATTAAATTTGGTTTATTAATTAATCCATATTGCAATCTTTACATTTTAAAAATTATACGACTACGTGACATATAATTTCCTATCTAGTATATCTGTACAAAAGTTTTTTTTTTCGGAGATGGGCTTTCTTTATGTTATCTTCTTTTCAATATCGCGCAATCAGCCGAAATGATAAAAGTCTGAAAAACACCGTGCCTTCTTTGGAACCTTCAGTAGCAGAGACAAAGGACGTAGACGACGGAAACCAATGGAAACTGATGGTCGGTGACCTAGTGTGGGGCGCAGCAAGAGGAAGTCCGGCCTGGCCGGGGAAAGTCGAGTCTTTGGGCCCCCCGGGTACTATGACAGTTTGGGTTCGGTGGTACGGGGGCGGGGGTGGTCGCACCCAAGTCGATGTCAAGGCTCTCAAGTCCCTCTCCGAAGGCCTCGAGACGCATCATCGCGCCCGTAAAAAGTTTAGGAAGTGAGTCAGCCACCCCGACAGGGATGAACTATTGAAAGATGAGAATCTCTTAGAGACGTCTCGTTATCTTTAATAGATATCGCGTTAACGCAAAAATATATCGAGGGGGAAACAGAACGGGAGATGCTTGAGTATTTTTTTTACATTATATTAGTTTTTTCTTTTCTACATTCGGCATTCGATCTTTAGAGCTGTGACACAGGCACGTTAACTTATTGTTTTATTTAGAATTATTAAGTGTTATAAAGTGGAGCACAATGTCGCTTTCCTGGGGCTACGTAAGATGCACGTGATGTTACATGAATTTTAGTTTTACATTTGATTAAATACGATTATACATTTTTCAAGAGAGAAATCGGTAAAAAGTGGTAAGTGCTATACGAGGTAGATCTTCGTGAATTTAATACAAGACATCCACTTTTTTATCGCATTATATAGTCGAAATACAGGGTAGATAGTATTTAACAGAAGCTCTCAATAATGGATTTATTTCTAATATGTGTGTGGAAATAAATCTCTTTCTTTAATAAAAAAAATTTCTTATTTATGATCGTATAGCATTTATTAACAAGCCAACAGCTAATTAAATCTATCCTGCATAGTTTATTGCATAGCGGTCCAATATTCTCTCTTTCTGTTATCTTGCTAAAGAATACTGATACTTTTATGTACTGGACATTACTATATTAAGTGGTTTTATTCCAATCTCAGTCATCTTTCTTCTCATTCCCCTTCCTCTTCGTATTTGAAGGATGTATTACGTGTATTGTCTAACAAAATGATAAAATTATGAAAGAATTATGAAATTTTCTATACTGTATTTGAAAATAATATAAAAAGTTTGGCGTGTGTGATGTAGAACTTTTGTATATATATCAGTAATTACTTCAAAAACTATTTTAAAATATAATCAAGACAAAAAATGAAAAAATTTTCATTTAAAATATAAAACTATATTATTAAATATATTATTGAACAATTTTTTCGCAAAGATTATACTTGTGATACATCTTTAAATATGTAGCTTTGATTTTATAACACGCGTCGGTAATCGCGCAAGTACAAATGTTAACAATATTTAATTCGTAAAAATTTTCCTAAAAAAAAGTATATATATTTTTCTATTATACATATATGTAATGGATATTTACGTGGTTTTTTTTTTTACCAACAAAGTATATTATAATTACTGTTTAGCTATTTATTGTCTGATAAGTGATTTATTTATGCTTGACAAAAGCTATTTAGTCGCGATTTGTTCAGCTTTTAGATCTTAATTTTTCTTGTTCTAATCGGAATCGAAACGCACACGCGGTCGTTGATGATCATCTATACTAACTGTACGATTTTCTCGTTCCTCCCCTATTTTTCTAGAAGTCGTAAATTGAATATGCAATTGGAAAACGCGATACAAGAGGCGATGGCGGAACTGGACAAGATGACGGAAGCCTCCAACGACCAGAAAGATACCAAAAAGTCGCCCAAGGTGACATCACTACCGGCAACCAACTCGAAGAGTGTCGGCGCCAACAAATCGGAGGCCAAGAGATCATCGAAAAGAGCCGTGGCCACTGTGGACCATGCCAAAACCGAACAAAAACAATGTCGGTGATCCGTGTCGATTACGGTTATTTAATGTGACTATCCGCAATCAACAACTCTCGTTGCCTGTCATAAATCGCGAAGTATCGATAATCTTCGCGCAGCAATGTAATTAGTCAGCTTTTTCAGTTTAATAAATTATTAATAATTAATAACAAATCTACACGAAAATTACACGTCCTTCAAATTTACCGATATATTTCCGTTTGCTTTAATCGACAACTATTAATCACAATCGTGATCATACATAGTGCCCGGTTGCAATGCGAGTAAAATTTAGTGCAGCTGTGATGTGAATTCTATTACATGTAACGAATCTAACACGAGAACTGAAATTGAATCTATTGGTGCAGAAATACGTGATGCTACGATGCTACGTTAATACGATACGAACGATAAAAGCGTCGCTTCAGGAGTTATCTTAAATACAACGCATACTAAATCTCGGTGATCGCTGTGTTCTACTGCATCCGAACAGTCGGAATTCTAAAATCATTACGAGGATTTTTATCTTAGACCAAAATATTGTACAATTTTACTCCTACACGTTAAAATTATTTCTCATAGCTTAACCAATACGCTTTGAGACGTCCTGTCTCTGATCATAATCAAAAGACTCGTCTGATGATTTTATTAAATCGAGAAAAGAGAATTCTCGATTTCTTGGATGCAGAAGCGACGGCCATGAAGAACGTGACATTAAAGATAGAACTGTATTGCAATAGTGGCAAGCAAGTTTCCTTTCCTGTAAATTTATCAATACAAAGCCTAAGCAACCGTAGCATCTTTAGCGTATTCCGTTTGTAACAAATGACATCGTTTTTAATAGGGAAAAACGGTCAGGCATGTAAAATTGCAATTCAAATAATCAATAGCGACATACGGGAAATACTACGGCCGATTCACCAAAAATAGGCCTACAGCATGCATTCTTAGATTATTTATAACACACATGTATGTAATCACACAGAAAGTAAGCATATAGAAAAGCAATAGTTTCTCATAGGCATTTTTGAATTGGTAGAGAAGAAGATCACACTTATCAACACACAGACGAATAATTTGTCACACCATTATTTTATCCGACGAATGCTCGTCTATCGATTCCTTTATTGAGGTAATACAAAGAATGGCGTTTTGAACGAAAACTTTTTATGATAATGCATATTGAACGATTTCCCGGTTACTGTGCGCGGTTTTTACAATTTACACGTGCGATTGGGAGGCATGGATGTTTCCTGAAAATATGTACTTGCCCACGTATTCGGGCGATCGTATAGGCAAACGTGTATAGTTTTAAAAAGATATTTTTGCGAATGAACCTTCATTACACTACCGTAGAGAATAATGCATTTTTTTAGAAAGCTATACACAGTGGATTATTGTTTTACTGTGACGATGTCGTGCTACAGGCTCGTTGAACCATTTTAAACTTATATGCGTCCACAGGATGCTTTTGATCCGCGCGATCATTTTCTTAAACAATGTTCCTCGAACAACGTTAACCTGGAACACGCTGCGACTGAATAATTCATGATTTAGTGTAGGGAAGCGATCGCAAACCACTGTAAAGTTTGGCATCCGGTGTTTTTAATGACTAACAACATAAGTGATTGTTCTTTAATGACGTTTTAAATTAACTTATTAACGTTTTTTTTCAAAACGTACAACAAATTTCGAGATTGTTTTGAAAAATCATATAGTTTTAATCAGGTAAAATAAAATTTTGGGACAAGAGTTAAAATATGCTATTGACTTAGAGTTTCTTGGAAAAAAATGGCTCTGAAATAAATATTCGGTTACGTTTCTCTAAGAAATATTATGTACTTTAATTGCGTGATGCCGAATTAATTTGGCGACTATATTTTTATTCTAAAGTCTGTTCCCACTAATACGGATTAACTTTATAATCTTGGTTCAACTTACTGTTGTACTGTTTCTACTTTTAAGAATTAGAATGAAGAATGAGTTGAACCAAAATTAAAGTTAAGTTACATTTATGAAAATGGGAATAAAGCGCACAAGAATATATGCGCAAAATTTAAATATAATTTTAAAAATAAAAACGATCGTTTTTTTACGATAAACAGCGAATTCGAAGGTATGTTAAAAGATCTCGAATTTACATTTAAATTATCGAGATAACTTCGGCGTGTTGGGAAACATTATGATAGACAATAAAAAAAAGATGCAAGTATCAAAAAAAGATCGTGCGATTCTTGATTTTACATTTTCCGCGAGACTAACGATCTGAATTTCTTAAGGAATGCATTAATTATCGCGTATAATCGGTGTTGAAAAATTTCTCTATAAATGCACCGGTTGCGTAATACTTAACTATACGGGTCCGCGTACAGATTTTTTAGTATTATATTACGGTTGTAAATATGTCAACTATGACGATATTACCGTCATAATAACGAATATAACTCAATTGTAAGAAAGGCCAACATAAAGCAACTAGTTTACATACGAATAAATTATCGCTCGCAGAATCACGTATGCGACGAGTCTGTAAGCGAATATTTGCTTCTTAAAATGAGAGATTAAAACGGGGAGCTATACTCTTACATATATCAAAAGATAACTGCTTGATGTCACCATATATATCTGCGGGAAACCACAGACCATTCATGAAGACGGGTTTCTCTGAAATCTTATCTAAACTGTACGTTTTCTGTCTTTTCGTGAAGCAGAAAGTTGCCTGAGTCATATCTTTTACTTTGTGACGCATGTGTAAGAACTTTGGGAGAAGATTATGAGAAAATATTTTTCAATATATTTATGAAGCTTAAATATAGAATATTTACCTTTGCTATATCTTTTCTGTGATTTATACGTACGTTTTATGCGATTGTCATAAAACGAGAAGCATAATTAGTTGAATTTTTCCATGTGATCGTGACTTGGGCCACTTTCATCATCACAAATATCGTAGACAATGTAAAGCTCGTAGAAATTTTACGAGCGGTTTTTCTCCCAGTGCGCGCGTCTCTACTTAAGGACAATTATATCAAAGTAAATCAAAAGTTCGCGATATCACATATTACTTGCTAAGTTTCACAAAAGAAATCTTCGTCAGAGGAGAATCGCTTCCCGTGACACGGTTCGTAATACAATATTTCATCATGACCAAGTGCGTTGCAACGCAACGTTTCATTTGATGAATGGCGAAAGACATATCACCGGCCGCGAATGACAATTTTTCGAAATATGCACGTTTTCGGTGAAGTATACTGTGCGAAAATAAAGATGAAAGAAAAAGAGAGATAGATAGGGAGAATATAGCGAATTGGCTGGCATCGTTGTACAGATATACACATACACACAATTACAAACACATTCACATACATACACAACGGGACCGTTTAAAGTTAAGACATTTCTAATTTAATCCGATTTTTTCTTTATCTCGAATGTAACTGAATAGCCGAGGGCTGTTTTTACAAAATTTAACAATTACAAGACGTTTAGAATTTCCCAATTTTCCTCATTGTATAGATTGACTATTGACTGTAATTCATGTAATTTAGTTGTTGCTCGCAACATACAATTTTTCATTTCTCAACAACACGTATATGTACTTTGCGCACGAGATAATGTTTCGACTATTGTTACGTGAAAAAGTTTTCTACAATTATTTCTTCCAACAAGTGCACACTTGCGAAAGTAAGGCGGTACGATGTATTGAAAGTTTGTAGCATTGTGTAGGATAGTAACTTTTGTAGAAACGGTCCTCACAATTCGGCGCGTATAGGTCTTCGCTAGTTCTTTCTCCTCTAGGATGTGAACCAGTTTGCTGAGAGCACTTTCTCCTCGTTCTCTCGAACGTGCAACGCGAGAGTGACCGTAGTTTAAAAACCAGTGAAAAACTTACCTCAATGAAATATACGCAAGAATCAAACGTCTTAAAAAAAAGAATCGAGAATATATACTGTAGTGCCGATGTCCTTTGTATATTTTCCATGATATTGTAAATAGATATATATATATATATATATATATATATAATGTGACGGACGGTATATCAATTAGGTATACGAGCCGTCGAGCGAACGACGTCGGGCGTGTGTGTGTGTGTATGCGTGCGTGCGCGTATATGTGTGTGCGTGTGTGTGTGTGTGTGTGTGCGCGTGCGTGTGTGTAATGCATCTCCAACAGCGAAAATTGTGGCTTCTAATTATTTGACACGTCGTAATGGAAAGTGAGAAGAAATACTTATAGAGCTATTTTATAAGAACATTCTTTACGGGTCGTTATATGACGTAAGTAGAGTACGTTTAATACACGCCACACGTTTTTATACAATATGAAAGTAAAACGAGAGAAGTAGTTCTTAAATCATGATATGTGTTTTACGCGTACAAATATGTCCTGTCTTTAACATGTACTGTCTTATTTTTACCATTTAATCCCTTCGTGTCGCGAAGAAAAATTACTTCGATCAAAGGTAATAAATTTTTTACGGGCGAACTTCTTCCTCGATGGCTCAGTCAGCTTGACACCGTAAGTTTCACGAAAGGCCTACATCATTGGAAAACCCGTATGCGTCGCGTCGACTGGACGAGATGACTTTGTTAAAATAATGAGGTATTACGGTGTAGTGTAAGGAGAATGGTTGACGGTTTAATCGAACGGAAGACTATTAAACTATTAGGCGCGCGCGGCGAATCTTTTGGAAAATTATATATACCGATAGTTATTGGAGCGTGAGTGAGATTCATGAGATTTTCGGCAGATATTTATTGCTCTATTATTATTTCAAAAGTAGAGTATTTACGGAGCGGTTTCGTTCGCTTGTTGTGTTTTGAGAGAGATATAACGAAGAAACGCGAGCGTGCGGGCCACTTTTTGTCCCCTGTAACGGAATGTACAGTGTGTATGTACGCGCGAAAAGTGTATATGATGAAAGAATGTAGATGCGCGCGAAAGAATCGTGATGAAAACGAAGAAACGAAATCCTTTTAGCAAACGAATGCAGTTGCAAGCGGCACCAAAAAGAAAGAAATA